CAAAGGCGTTGCCCCCTTTTATTTTTATTATCTTTATTTCACTCAGTCACCCTGGGTAGAGTGCCATGGCATCACAGCTCACAGCAACCTCAAACTCTTGGACTGAAGCGATCCTCTCCCTGCAGCCTCTCAGGTAGCTGGGCCTACAGGCACCTGCCACAATCCCCAGCTAGTTTTTCTATTTTTAGGAGAGATGAGGTCTCACTCTTGTTCAGGCTGGTCTTGAACTCCTGAGTTCAAGTGATCCTCCCTCCTCAACCTCCCAGAATGCTAGGATTACAGGTGTGAGTTGGCAACATTTACATTTACTTTCAATTTAACCTTTAAGAAAAAAAAAGGACTCTAAAGACCTGAAAAAAAATTAATTTCAAAAGAAATCCTCCATACCTTCTGATAATGCAAAATTTCAAAAAAGAGAGTATATCCAAAGAGTACTAAACCAAAAGTCTGTAAACCAGGTTTCTGGAGACTAAAATCTAACTCTAGATTGACCACTGACAGCTAAATCACACTTATGGGAGCGGACTTACCTGGTTGCTAACATTTGGATGGGACAAAGGGCATATGATTGGGGGTAAGGTAGACCAGAAGGTCTCTAGAACCCAATTGGTTCCAACTACCTATGACTATATAAAATATTTAGACCACGTCTGATTAAATTGCCCTCCATAATGAAATGCACATTTAGGTAGGGCCAGAGGGTTCTGGAAATATTCTGTGAAACTATGCTTAAAATTAAAATTACATAAGTTAATAGTAAAACATAGCTAGGAATTTTCAGTGCTTTATTTTTTATTTCTGCACAAAACAGGCAAAATAAGCTGCTTCCAAAAAATACCAAACCAACCATCTCCACCTCTTCTAGATCACAGGACATCTGGACAAAAGCTTAAAAAGAGGAAATAATACTGTTACTTACTGATGGCCATTGTAAAGGAATGTGTTTTAACACATTTAAGAAAGTAAGAACTTATAAATGTGTGGTTACAAGTAACAACTAAACCTAAGAGCAGGCTTGGTGCCTGTAGCTCAGCAGCTAGGGTGACAGCCACATACACTGGGGCTGGCAGGTTCACACCTGGCCCGGGCCAGCTAAAACAACAATGACAACTAAACAACAACAACAACAAAAATAGCTGGGCATTGTGGCGGGGGCCTATAGTCCCAGCTACTTGGGAGGCTGAGGCAAGAGAATCACTTAAGTCCAGGAGTTGGAGGTTGCTGTGAGCTGTGATGCCACAGCGCTCTACTGAGGGCGACATACTGAGACTCTGTCACACACACAAAAAAAACCTAAGAGCAAATGCACCTGTTTCAACTAGCAACCTAACAGTGACAATGAAGTCATAAAAGAAAAAAATAAAGTCTTGAATGGTTGCAGTATGTTCACTTTCAAATATATTCCCTAATTTTGGTTTTCTTTTTTTTTTTTT